GCATGACACTTTCTTACATGTGATTACTATTCCATCCAAAGTATCAGTTTTAACAACTTTGGCACTCTTCTGAATCTCATTACAATCTTCATCAATCTGCCAGTTTAACCCCAAAATACTTATCCAACTTTGCAAGCAGCATTTTTCAAAGTCTCAGCATGTCTTCATTTTGAGGTCACATGCACTACTTACTTGGCTAGTCAGAAAAGAATACAATACTGAAAGCTAAATTTTTCATTAGATGTACTCATAATGACATGTCCATTGCTGGGTGTTTCTTCCTCTGCCTTTCAGCATTATAAATATACATTGTCACACCACTTTTGTCTTGGATAAAAAAATTGGCATCCAAGTACATGTGAAGTGGTTTAATTATAATGCATATGCAATAATATTTTTAACTATTCATGTCATCAATTGAAATGAGTTCACTTGTGACTAGTCCACTAGATCTTATGCATGCAAGATTTTCCATGCCTTTTAACTTTTCTTTTATTCAACCCTCTATTTGATACAAAAGACAGTTAACATGACAATACAGAGGGAGTCCGCTTTTAATTCAGTGCAACAATAAAACAAATACTTCCACAAAAGTCAGATATCAAGACATGGTCGGCACTTAGATTTTCAGAAACATTTGCAGACAGCAGTTACGTTAGTTTGACACAATTTACATATAAATACAACACTGCATTTATGATGATCACACTTCTGCCAATCTTAAAGATATAATTATAACACAAATTTCACTAGATACAAAAAAAACATTTAGTTGGTATTTATAAATGAAAGTACTGCCTCCTAGATGTCACATTTTCATTTTTGAAATTTTGTTGAATATTGTTTATGGTGTACTATAAATAGTGTACTATAAATGTCATTTGGAAAGAAAATGTAGCAAAAATATATGACCTTATTAACAGTTGACAATTTTATAATATTGATGAAAATGTCCAGGTCCTATCTCCCATATTTGATGATAAAACAAGCGATTTATTTTAGTTTCATTTACCAATTATGGGAGTGATTTTCTTCAAGATCTACAAATAGGGATCAATTTGTTGATTGTATGGCACTAAATAGCCTAACATTGCTGGTGCGCCATAAAAATACAATTAATCAACCATCTAGTCACCTTCAAAAAGGTGACATAATCAGAATACATGACAATCTTTCTTTTGAATATAATTTCAAAAGTTTGTTTCATTTAATTGTTCAGTCAAAGGTAGATATCAAGTCTCCTGTATTTATCATGTAAGCAACATAAGGTGCTATATTTTCCTAACATCATCTACTCTTTGAACAAATTGCTCTGTATTTAATTGTTAGAGACAAGTGCATTTTGTTCCAAACAGAAACCTGTTAAAGAAATATAAGTTGGATTTTTAACAATAATAACCTTTTTGCCTAAAAGTTAGTGACATGTCAAAACAATCTTTACATAGCAGTTGCTCAGTCAGCAACCTGACAAATTGCCTTAAATCAATTAGGACAGGAAAGTTGGTGAATCCATATTACAGATATTATGATTACCGTATTTTCCCGCATATATTCCGTGGGTTATACCAGATTTTACAAACCCTGCAAGGGAGGGTGTGTGGTTTAATATAAGGGTACGGGCTATACCACAAATTTTTTACACATAATACTATTTCATTATATTGTTTGATAAACATAACTACATAATTTATATACTGTTTTCCGACCTTGTTGATGAAATGTTGAAACACATCGGTACTTCATCCATATTAATAATGGCAGAATGGGGAAGGAAAAGCTTCTGAATTTCCCTGGAGACAAATTCACAAAAATTATCCATCTTCTCCCAGTTCTTGGGTAGACATTGTTCTGATTCACAACTGGTTCCTATTCTTAAATTTATATACCCAAACACTCCTCCTTTTAATTGTAAATGAGCTTCTCTGCGGCCATGAGATTGGCCTTCAGTTTGATGGCAACTGTTGGGATTGGTAGGTTCTTTTCCTGCTGGGCTATGATCCACTGCCTCAGGTCAGCTTCAAGGTAAGGGCATTTTGCATAAGGTTGGAGACTAGCATGTTTTTGTGGATTCATCTTCTCCAACACTCCTTTTTCTTTTCTCCATCCTCGGATTACACTCTCTTCAAATATCAAATTTTCTGCCATGTGTCTCTATTGCCATGCACTTCAGCATATGCAATGGCAGTTAGCTTGAAGTCGGCTGTGTAAGAATTTCTTTTCAGCATCTTTTAAATTTAACAGAAAGAAATTATTTAAATTCAAATGTACACTTCACAAGACTTCAAGATTATTTAGAAATGTCTTCTTTTATGTAGCCTGTAGTTGAGGCACAACTCCTATAGACAGCCTATGCACGCATAAGCACTGTGTATCAAGCCTGAATAGTTACCAGTAATTGACATCATGCAAGCTACATTCAAAATTATGTTTGGGGTATACAAAGGTGCAGGTTATACTAACGATTTTTTTACACAAAAACCCAAAACCTGTGGGCTATATGAGGATGTGGATTATCAGTGTCTGCAGGATATATGCAGGAAAATACCGTACAATGTAAATGATAAGTTAAAATGTAAATATTCATCATTTGTCAAGACTTGTTTTAAATAGTAAATATTTTCATTATTATATCAAAAAGAAAACTGACCATGATAATGACTAAAATATGGAACTGATGCTTGCAGTAAATGAAATAAACTAGCCATATATGAATAAGAAGGAAGTGCTACATATAAATCCCAAACAAAGATGCTGATATATGTATTGTGGTGAGATCACTGGGTACAAAACTTGCAAATCATAAAGGATTAGGAACTGAACACAACCTTCCGGTTCGTAAAGTAGCTTGCATAGAGGAGTGAATTTGAGAATTTGAACTTGTCCTGGGAGTCAAACAAGTGAATTTGAAAGTCCCAGAATAACATGGACACCATGTTAAAAGTGCATGTGTTGCTCTGTCTTTCAAGATTTGGGGGATTTTGCCAGTCCCAGAATAACATGGACACCATGTTAAAAGTGCATGTGTTGCTCTGTCTTTCAAGATTTGGGGGGATTTTGCCAAATTTTGTTTTGTGCAACACACTTGGTAATTATATTAAATTCATATTGATTATTAGTTTTATGGGAATTTTCCAATTGTAGTAGAACTCGTCCGGGATCTTGGTAAGATGATAGGTTTAGAAAAACAAGCTAGAATACACATTGGGCTGATACATGTACTGCTGTAATCTGGGTGAAATGATATGCCTATACTGTGCATCACCAAACCTGTAATAAGATACATATTAGTACAGTCAATAACTTAAAGATAGAATTACCATAAAGGCAATAAGGATCTTGGCTAGAGCAAAAATGCCTTGTAACAAATCCCCTTCATTGTACATCCTTCAAGTACAAAACAACTACCAAATTGGTTGACGTTGAATTCTCTGTTGTGGGAACAAAGAGACAAATATTTCTTCATGACCATTGATGATTAATAATACCTTGTATTAGCTATTATATTGTGTTGATTCTCCATGATGTGTGTCAGAATTATTGTGGAATGTTTTCACCCTTATCCATATTTGTTTGCATTTATATGAATAAATCTTTGCTTTATTTGATGCATTGAAGTGAAACTGTTTGATATCAAAAGTTTGTTATATGGTATGCAAGGAGTTCCAGCCTTGCTTTCTGGAAAACTGTTAATTTTGCATTAAAATGCTTGAATGTCATCATCTTCTACATGAGGGGTCTCAGACTCAAACCACCATGAGGGTATTTTCGATGGCCCAAGTGCCACACCACCTTTGTTATCTCTAATGATGCCTTGTGAAGCCAATCATTTTGCAGCCTCATGATATGGCTCTTTGAGCTGTGTGTTTGAGACCCCTGTTCTACATCATTTGTTTCATTCAACTGAAAGTTTGGAATAATGTTACCTTGAATCACAAGTGTATATTCTAATATGCTTGTAGTTTGTTTCTTGCAAGTTTTGCCTGCACAATAACGTTTTCATCATTGTTAACAGTTCATGTTTCATTTCAATTTTGTTTTCTTTCTTCCGCATTTGACTAAAGTTTATGTCATGATATTTTCTAAGCACCTATCTTGCTGTGTAAGCAGAAATTACCGTAAAGCCTGTCTTGAAAGTCCACTGCTATATGAGACCACCTGTCTTCAGAGACTACACTCTTAATGAACAAGTTTAGTGATTTTATAGTACTATTACCTGCTATGAGAGACCACCTGTCTTGAGAGACCATAATTTGGCAAAAGAGGTGGTCTTTCAAGACAGGTTCTACTATATGTTTCATTGTTGTAAATAAGGTTAAGTTTTATGTTAAAGTGTTTGAACATCTCATATTTTCATAACCATTTGCTGCATGTTAAGTTAGGATAATGTGTAACCACAAATTCAGGATTGCATGTTTTCCACAATTTGTGGGACTGATGAGTCTACCATCTTAACCCATTTTTTTTCCCTGAGTGTTCTCCATGAAACATTGTGTGCTATGGATAATCTATCATGTGCTGAAAAATGGCATTAAATCCACAAAACCCACACACACCTATTTTTTTTTATCCATTACATCTGATGCAGATAATTATATTTACCCCTTAATTTTGTGCATCCCTCAGAATTAGGGGATGGCTATGGCACTTTCCCATGGGATCATGGGTGTAACTACTATTACTTTAGTTCCTGTCCTGCCTACTTTGGCATTATTAATGGCCTCCTTAATGATTCTAGATTTACATTTATTTTCAAACACCAAAAAAATGTCAATAATCTTGTTTAACACACAAACAATACAATTATAACAAAAAATATGAAGAGGAAACTAAAAGGAAATGTGAATGTCAATTAATATATTGCAACACATATAATGGACTGAACATTCTTATTTAAGGTTGTTACATTCTAAAGAAACCTTGTGTATACTTGAATTTTAGAGTGTTTGAATTTTAGAGTGCGTTTTGGATGAGTCTTTCTGTTTTTTTACTACCATGTGGCCACTCCAGTGACCTAGTGGTTAGAGCATTTGCCTCGGATGCGGGAGGTTGTGGGTTCAATCCCCAGCTGATTCGTACCAAAGACTTATAAAAATTGTACTAACAGCTGCCTCGCTTGGTGCTCGTCATTAAGAAATTAGCATTAGGACTGGTTGGCCCAGTGTCAGGATATGTGACTGGGTGGGACATCATGATATATGTCTGCTGCATGATGCCCCAGTTCAAGACATCACTATAAACTACCACAGTGCAGACATTGTATCAATATGACTGAAAAATTATTAAAGCTGCATTTAAAATCCAAATCACACACCCCCACCCCCTTACTACCATAATTCATTTTCACATTGTGTCAATATCACACTAAAAAAATCAAATTAAGACAGTAATGTAGCAAAGACAACAATAGAATGGTGTATGATTGTGTCAGTAATTATAGAAATGATCTAATAGGAAATATTTCACTATGTACCAGAAACACAACCAGTTTGTAGAGAATCAGTTGAAATCATTAAAATGTACACAAAGTTTATTGCAGATAAGTATAGCATCATCAAAAGAAGCACATGCCCCAATTAAGTCTCAGATTCCCTTCTATCATTTTTTTTCTTTTTAGTTGTTGTGTCCGATTAGCTGGAGTTTTTTTATGATAGTATCAGATAAATGGATTGAATATCCATTTATCTTGTCAAAACAAAATATCAACATTGTCACAATTGGTAACACTTATTGGATAGTTGCATGAGAATTAAAACATTTCATGAGAACCTTGCAACTGATTATCAGGTGATGCTGGTGCATAAGTTTGTACCATAACCAACACACTTAAGTTTTGATGCTCATTCATGTAGACTTTTTGTTCTTTTTCTTTTTTGTTTGTTTTGGTAGTCTTAACTTTGACATGATATGACTTTTTTAACCAATGATTTATATTTCAAATTTTTTATTTTAATAGAAGAGAGGAAGAAAAGTCCATCAAGATGGGGAAGATATTATCCAAAATATTCGGCAACAAGGAGATGAGAATATTAATGTTGGGATTAGATGCAGCAGGAAAAACCAGTATCCTTTAAAATTTACTTAATTGCAGTGTTGTTAGGTCATACATAAAGTGCATTGATGTTATTTTTGCTCAGGTGTGTATTGTCTGCTTGAAAGATAGAAGATGCACCAAGCTGCAATGTGAACTCCGTGATCTAAGATCAGTTGCACATGATATACATCAGCTAAATTTACACCAGTACAGCCTGTATAGAGATTGGATTTATCATTTTATTTACAAAAATTGAGACATATTTATCACTTTGCTTCAGCTGAATCTAATTAGAGATGCACAAAAATACCACTTCTTATTCTGCCATTGGTGCACTCCCCACTTTCCTCCCACCCTTAGTGCCTTCTTTTTCCTTTCATTCCTGATTTATGAATTATTTCCTTAAAAATGGCCATTTGCTAAAATTTTGTTTTTTTTAAATAAAAAGAACCCCAAACTTGTATTTAATGTTTGATATATACATAAAGGAGCAAAAAATGATATTGAACAATGACAAAAAAAATCATGTTAAAGTTGTAGATTTTCATTATTATAATCTTCTGAGTTAAAAACTAGTAATGTGATTGCTCTTTTGCATTAGGGAGAATTAGGGAGATGTTTAGGATATGGATTCAGAGTCCTTCAGGATGGTCTGAAAAGTTTTTGATCTTGAAAAGGTCTGGAATTTTTATTATATTATTATTTTTTGTGACAAACCTGGTTTGCATTGGTTCCTACCAAGTTGACATTGTTGGAATTGTTTGAATGTGAACATGGCACTTGTGACCATAAACAAATTTGAAATAAAGGCATGAACATGTGGAAGAAAGGAGCAGATTTATAGAGTTTAATAACATCAACTTTGTAACAGACATGAAGTTTTGTGTTTGCTGTTGCCTTACATGAATTGGAATACTTATGTGGTTCTTACTTATTTCCATTGTGCAGAGATCCAGTATTCAATGTGTGATGCCAATAGCAATAACATGTATCATGTTTAGACGGGAACGACCTCTGCCTACTGTAGAATTGAGGGTGCAGTACAGGCTCAGATCATAGAAAGCAGTATAAAACTATTCTGTGCATATGCATGGACTGTAGGGAGGAGGAGATTACTTTGCTTGTCCAAAGACCATGAGGAAAACTATAGATCTGAAATAAACACATCTTAATTTACAGTTCTCATATTATTGTTTCAAATTTGATCATCAGAAAATTTATAGTCAAGTTTTTTGTAACCTTTAGTACCTTAATACAGGTACATATTGATATTTATATTTTACAAGTTTCACAAGACTTTAAAATAAGACATGGATCATGGCAATTCTATCTTTTATAAATTTAATTCAATTTTACTGAGTTTGATAAGCAAGGTGCTTGACATATCAAAATAATTTGTTTTAAAAATTGCGAGCAAGTGTTGAGCATTTGTTGTTTTTACATGTAACATCAGGGATGGTCCTGGCTTTTAAAAAGTTGTTGCCAAAAAAATTGCCAACCGCAATATTTTGTCGCCAATTTTCAAAAAAAGTGTTGCCAGAATAGTGACTATTTTTCCAAGTCTGTTAATGTAATAGGCTATTAAAATTTAAAAACACAGCATAGTTCTTACTTTATTGACAACAAGAAGTACATCTATAATATTACAAAATAAATCATTACATGATGGTACCATTTTACATCTGAAAAAAAAGCTGACATTGACAGTATCTAGTTCATTTTTTTAATTGAAACCTCCCTCAGTTGTATGGCTAACTTCACAAAGTACATCTCACTGAATGCTGTAGAGTTTTTCTTGACACACAATTGACTGCAAACTTGGATCTCTATTTCCCCACCAATGAAACTTACAAGAGTCAACACCTGGCATAAATGTACTTATAGGCATTAGTGACCATCATATCAATTCGGGGGAAAAAAATTGTTATTGACCAAGTCAACATTGTTATATGCATATGCTAGTTAAGGTGACCCACAATAGCGCGCCAGGACAAAAGCGTGCAGACAAATTACTCTGGGAAAGATGTAGATAACAAAAAAATAAAATAGTTTTCTGAGTACTTAGCCTATAGTTCTTTTATGTAAGAACAAATATTACAAATAATAAGAAATAATAATTGTAATTTTAACATGTTTAAATGGTTCATCTAACATTTACTGAGTTAATTACTCTAAATGCTAATGTTGTATGCAATAATTTTGTCTTTAGAAAATAACTGGCAATCACTTAAAGTTAATTATAATTATTTCATCTGAAAACATGAAAAGTAAATTTGTTTGATCACAGGTTACAGTTAGAATTTGAATGAGAAAAATGATCTTGGCTTTCGATTATTGAATACCACACATATTGTTTATTTTAACTTAATTTATACCTGCGCAGTTTTGTTGCGCTTTTGTCGAGGTTATTTAGTATTGCGCTCATATGTTGGCACGCTTTTGTCCATGCGCTTTTGTTATGGAGCCATTAGTTAACAATACTACGGAAAACGGATATAAAATGTGGAAAATAGTTATCGTATATATGGTAGCTTGAGACAAAATTTGAACTAGCAAATGCATACTCCTTTTAGGCATTATTAGTTATCACGGAAAAGAGCAAGGTTTTTATGTCAATCAATTACTAGTGCTTCACTCACCATGTAACAGGCAGTATCTTTGAATTATGTCACAGAGGCTCAAGTGTAACCTTTAGCTGTGGTATAAAATATGAAATGTAGGGGTAGGCAAATAACGAATTCCACAGGGAGAAATGGCATGTCATTTTTGAAAATTTCACGTGTATTGGACCCGTAAATAACGGAGATTATTAGTGAAAACAATGCTTGAATATAAAAATCTGTTGTTCATGGTCAGGTAGCAGCAAACACAAATTTGAAGTACAGATAATGTTCATCGTCAAAGAGTAAATGTCCCACATACAAGAAATAAAAATAATGTAATGCAGAAATTGTTCTAATGTTTTCAGTTGTAGATGAACTGTGATACAGGTTTCGAGGGAAATTAGTATTGTGATATATGGTGTCTTACTGAGTCTGGTTTGCTTGCAAATTTTAATGAGTGAGTGAGTGAGTGAGTGAGTGAGTGAGTGAGTGAGTGAGTGAGTGAGTGAGTGAGTGAGTGAGAGAGAGAGAGAGAGAGAGAGAGAGAGAGAGAGAGAGAGAGAGAGAGAGAGAGAGAGAGAGAGAGACCAGTAAATATGTAAATATGACAATTCATGGTTTTAATTATTTAAAAAAAGCTGTTGATCCAAAATAAAAGATTTATTTGTAAATACAGCTATTATATATTTATCCTGCAACATATTTTGCCTTTAACAGGATAAACAAATGTATAGTTTGTTGTGTGCTTCTTTGCTACTGAAATTTAGCTCTTTTAAAAAAAGTGCATCAGTATTTGGTCTCATTGGGGGATGAAATCTTTCACAAATTAAACTTAATTAAGGAAAATAAGGTGCATTAATCGTCATCAACTGTAATGTGCTGCAAAAAATCTTTATCAGTTCAGAACCCTGGCTGGTATCACAGGCACTAAATACATGATGTCATCTGCAAAATTTTTTCAACTTATTTCATATGCTACCTATAACATCCAGTTTTCATTATTCTTGGAGGAACTGGTTAATGACCTTAACAGATATGCATGGAACTATATGTTAAGAGTGTTGAAAAGAACAATATCATAGGCTGATAAAATGATAAGAGGACTGTTATGTATATTTAATTTAATTGTTTATCTGTTTTAAATTTGTTTTATTTCATTACATGATATTGTAATGTAACATTATTTGCTGGACTTGACCTTGTCCATTTATCGAGTTAATTTCTGCTTGATGGTATCCACTTTTAAAATTTTATTTCATTTATGTGAACAACTAATAATAGCTTCATTATTCTCTATGTGTATGAGCTTATCATGATTATTATTCAGGTAAACAAAAGAGTAAATATGTTGATCAGGTCCAGGGTTTTGGAGATTCCTAAGTGAATTTTGTAGGCTTTTGTTGTAAATAATCAAGCCTTATTAGATCATTCTAGAAGGTTG